AACAGACCAGTGTTATGGAAAGCTCATCTGATGATGAATCCGTGAGGAGAGTCTTTGTCCCAAGTTTTGGGTTAATCCCATTTCCTTCAAGCTCTGGCCTGACAAGGTGCCTGGAGGCAGCTCTGATCTACATTGAGTCAAATCCTCCCAGTCACATCATTCTCCAGAGTTATTTGAAATTTGGATAGTTGACATCTGAGGAAGAAGTGGGAGAAATTTCCATGGCTGGCCTAATGGTAAGAGGGCTAATTCTTAAAGGGCAGAGTAATAAAATGTCATTCACTTACATAAGCCCCTGTGGTTTTCAAAGCAGGATCCAGTGTGTTTTCTACCACAATGGAGAGAGGCAAATAGCAGAGGGAGAAATGGGCGGAAGGTCTGCAAGCTTGCCAAAGTGCAAATACGTCCACCACTGAAGGCCAGTTCTCAGCTGCCCTCTCAGCTCCTGGAGATAGCAAGCATGGTCTTTATTCATAGGGTGAGGCAGGGTTTTTTGTTTGTTCTTATTTTAATATTTTAATAAAATAAGAACAAACAATATTGTTTGTTCTTATTTTATTATTATAGCTCTCAACCTGACAGGTTAATTTACATAGCAGCTCCAAAGCACTGAATTTGCCATTGGTTTTCAGTTGAAATGGAAATATGCTTACTAATTCCATGAGGTTCATTGAGGTTGGAGACAGAGGGATTATTTACCTGTGGAAGGCCAAGACAGAGGCTTACCACCCCCAGCTCCAAGAAGAGAATCCACAAAATCTGGACAAGAAAAGGGAGTGTAGAGTCTCCACAGTACAACTACAAACTACTGCTCTTCTGCTGTGTCCTGTTTTCAGGATCAGCATCCCAGGGGGCGGAAGGGCACCATACCTAGGCATCCCACAATATGTTTTGAGGCCTCTAAAAATGTTTATATTTCTTTAGAAATCTGAAAGAAAATAATGAATTTTTAAGATTATGAATATGTTTTAGTTAGGAGACTGAGGTAGGAGGATTGTGAGTTCAAAGCTAGCCTCAGCAATTTAATGAGACCCTAAGCAACTCAGTGAGTGAGACCCTG